CCTAAATTTTGATTATTATATATATATATATATATATATATATATATATATAACATTTTATTATCATAATGGCATCATAACAAATATGCATGAAAAAATGCATTTTACTTTTAAAAATTAATACTAATAGTATTTTTGATATGATATAAATGATTTGAATGCTATACTAGTAAATATTAAAGTTTAGGCTTTAGATACGTAAATACATAAGAATAGTGTGGCATATATGTAAATCCTCATAAAAATATATATAGATTGTATGGCCTAAAGTCTATTGATTGGGATCAGAGCGGGTACTAGATATGAAGAGAGAAAGCTCGTCGTGTCGATTAGATAGTTCGGCTAGATCAATTTGACTGATCTACTTAATCAGGGAGTTTTGATCAATAGCTCGCCTATGATGATCAATGCACATATGCTCGACGAGACTGAGGCAGCTTGATAACTCACTAAGAAAGCTCAGCTCACCTCATGACCGAATTGGCGGAGCTATCCATGATATCACCTCACCCATATGGAAAGTTGATCAACAAAGGTATTACAAGCATATTAGCTTGAGAAAATATGTTTATAAAGAACAATTATCCATGGAGAGGAACCAGAACAATAGTAATTATAACAAACATATAATAAGAAGACGAGTTCTAAACCGAGGATCTCTTAATATTCAAGTGTAAGAAGTACTTGATAACACATAGGCAGACCCCTGATAAATAGGGGTGATCACTATAATGCAAGGTAAGAACTCCTAGATATTTAAAAAACCTTCCTTCAAGTATTTCCTTGGTGGTGTGGATTCATAGACAAATCAGGATTTAATATCCTGAAAGAGTATAATAAGAGTGGATAATGTCATACATAAGAAAAAGAATCACACAAGAAGCAAAGCGAAGCAAAATCACTAGTAATATAGATTGTACCAAAGAATTTGTGATATAACAAATCAACAAATTGAAAGAGTAGATGATGATACTAATAAGAGAAACACTAGAATAAGTGCCAAGTTGATTACTCTCTTCTTCTCCAGAATTAGCAATGCGTCGAAGAAGGGCACTCAACACTAACAAAAGAAGGACCTCAACCCCCACTCTAGTGCACGAAGATAATACGTATCATCTCGACAAAGTTGGTTCAGCCCCCTCATGGTATAAAGAAAAATAAGACGAACTGAAACACCAAGATGATATCAACTGAAGAATATGTTTTCTAGAGAGATCTCCGAGACAGAAGCCCAAGAGAGATTTAAGATTATATCCTTAAAATATCATAAGATTCAATTTGACCCTCTGACCGCATCACTTTATTTGAATCAATGGCCTATCTGCTTCGATTAAATGACTCTCTGGAGTGTTGTTTATTTTTCATGACTCTAAAAGGAGTTAGCACTTAGGTGGTTCGACAGTTTATGCTAGAAGTGATCACTTATGTAAAGTTTAAGTGCATATTTGTTACACAATGTGCTAACTTGCAATAACACAATTTGATAGCTTAAAGAAGTCGCAAAAGATTTCACACGCTCCCTTGCAAATTTGTTAGGACCTAAGGGAATCCCTGTAGGCCTTTATCACTCATTTCCAAAAGGAGTTGCTAGAGGTTACAAACCTTGAACCTGCAACGCATGCGACGCTCTCGCAGGGTTTGAGAGAAGACCTCACCGTGCAAAAACTTTATATAATTTGTTGTAGCAGACCAACAACCACATTTCTGGAGATGAGTTCAGCTCTGAGCACAACACCTTTAGTGCAAGACGCCAAGAACCGTGTTCACCAAAAAGGAGTTTTAGTCAGGTCGACAGAGAAAGAAGTCGCCCTGTAGAGGCTGTGATGAGACCAAATCTCAAGATCGTGCCAACCTCATTCTTTCAAGAAAGAGCACATTTACAAGAGCGTTGAAGATATCCAATGGAAGGGTAAATTCAATATAAGGAGAGTTGGATTCATCACTGAGTGGAGGAGGTCGCCGCCATTAGTCCTTCAAATACCTGCACAAACTCCATTAAAAATTTCAATGGTTGAGATTAAGGAGGCTATCCAGAAGGTGTTTTTTCGAAAATTAATGACAATGAAGGTTGAGGGTCATCTGCGTGACTTGCAAAGATATTGTGTGTACCATCATGATCATTATCATAACACTAAGGAATGCATGTCTACATGTAATCTAATTGAAAAATTGATTTATGGTTAAAAAATTAAAAGAATTAATTACATCATAGGTGATTACCAAGAGACAAGAAAAGGCACGTGCCAACGAAACCCAACACAAACCATTTAAAGCTCAGGCAATCCACATAGCGAACATATTACCGACCATTCTTGGTGGGGAATAGACTAGATGCCTCTCATAAATCTTTGTTCGAGTTCATATTGACGGTACTCTGTTACTTATTGCCTCTAATATCGAGGATCTGCCCGCCAAGGTGAACCTATACAATGATGCAATCATGACCAACATGTTGATTTTGAACTACCAATCCGACAACATTCTCATAGACACGAGAAGCTCCTTAAACATTCCCGTGAAAAAGTGTGATAAAATGGACTTAGGACGTTCATACCCGGTCTCAACCTCTAGACCATTATTCAACTTCTCATGAGAGAAAAAAGAAGCTATGAGAGTTATCACTACTAACTACTCAAGGAAAAAAGAATAAGTAATTTATTGTAATGAGCAACTTCGCTATAGCCGACTTTCCAATAACTTACAACACAATCTTGAGCCACCCCCTTTTCAACACCTTCAAAGTTATCATTTCAACATATCACATTGTTGTCAAGTTCCCAAGCAATGGAGAGGTGATAACTTCACAGAGAGACATGGAACAATACTGCACCTACGATATGTAAGTGGTAGACAAAATGCTTGAGGAGATACTGCAACTCAACACATAAAGTGGTTTAGAGACAAATGAAGCTATACAATAAATTGTAGCTGTCAAGGGAGAAACAACTAAAATGCTCCGACATATTACTATTTTTGATGTTGGGCAAAGGGATGAATTGATTGTTGTCCTCTAAGAATACCAAGACGTGTTTACCTAGTCAATTAAACAAATGTCAGAAGTTGCAGCGACATCATATGTCATAGGATCAACATGAATTCAAGAGCTCGATCTGTGAAGTAGAAGATGAGACCCATCGACAATCCTCAGGCATAACCCATTCAACGAGAAGCATAGAAGCTATTGGATGTAGGGTATAACAAAGAAGTCCAATATTTAAACAAGATCGAGAATGTGATAATAGTGTCGAAGTTCGACAATAAATGAATGATATGTGTTGACTTCACGAACTTCAATTCAGTCTGCTCCAAAGATAGCTATATTTTTACCATGAATTGATGCACTAGTAAATAAGTCATGAGCTTTCTATATGCTTTTTTCAAATATCATCAAATCAAGATACATCCAGCTTACAATGAGATGACTGCATTTATCACAAAAAATATATTATTACAATGTAATGCATTTTGGGTTTAAGTCTATTGGTGTCACTTACCAACGAATGATGGATGTGATCTTTAATAAACAAAAGGAAATAAAAATATTAAAATTTATGTCAATATAGTGCTGCTTAAAAATAAATTACTAGACCAACATATTGAGACTTTCAAAACCTTAAGAAAGTTTAATATAAAATTAAACTTTGCTTAAGAGCACAGTTAAAAAATTCTCAGGACGCCTACTCACTCAAGAATGTATCAAAACAAATCGGGAGAAAATAAAAGTTATCCTAGAAATGCATCACCTTGAAGCAACAAGGAGTTACAAATATCAATTGGCCGAATTGGAGGCTTCAAGTCGTTACCTTTCCAAACCCAGAGAGAAATGCTCGGCTTTCTTCAAAGTTTTAAGGAGTGAAAAGCACTTTACTTAAATTAAAGAGTGTAAACAAGGCTTCACTCAAATAAAGGGTTTCTTGTGGCCTTTACCACTGTCACATAGTATGAGGTTAGGTGAGAATTTATTATATGCCGGAGTAAGCTCAGAAGTCATTAGTTTTGTACATATTTGCAAGAAGACTTAAAAAGCAATTTCCAGTGTATCATGTCAGTAAGATCTTAAGAGGAGTTGAACTCTCAAGTACCCAATTATGTAAAAATTAACTCTTATTTTAATTAATTTAGTAAAAAAATTCTGCCCATATTTCCAGGCACATACAATACAATAAGTGATGCATAATCCCTTTGAAGCCGGTACTCACCAAAGCTCAACATTCAGGCCGGCTTTAGAAGTAAACAGTAGAGTTGAGCAAACTTAATATCTCCTACGCGCCACAAATAACTGCTACATCACAATCTGTAGCAAACTTCCTAGTCGATTTTTTCAAGCACAATGACAAACAAGCCATGACCATAGATAAAGAAGCACTGTGGACACTAAGTGGATCATCTAGTTGTCAAGCGGCTGGTCTCGGTGTAGTACTCAAACCCAACTAGTTTTTCCTCAGACCATTCAATACAGATGAATTTTGAGACAACTAATAATCAAATCAATTATGAAGTCATCATGTTTGCCCAGGGAATAAGTGTGAAGCGCCAACCAGACAAACAATCAGTATGAAGCAAGTGAAGAGTTGATGGTGAAGTATCTCCTCAATGTTAAGATATAAATCAAAAAGTTTAAATTCTCCAAATTGAACACTTACACACGAAACAGATTGTGAAGTATCTCCTCAATGTTCTCTTGCAATTTTCTTGGCAGTAGTGGATGCAAGAGGAGCTGTGCTGCTCACGATGTGAGCAGAAGCATAGGGTTTCAGGTAGGCGGCGGAGCATCTATTGCTGCTGTGTGTTCGGGTTTGGGAAGAAGATTGGGATGGGGAATCTGTTTGTGGAATGCAGAAGAGGGAATAGAGAGCGGACAAGTTCGGCGCTGAAGCGCCTGTTAAGCATTCACTCTAGACAACAAAATTTAGGGGCATTTACATACATACCACCTAATTCTTAAGTATTTACATATCAAACATGTAAATTTTGCTTTTCTACATTTATATCACCAAATTCTTTGGTATTACATCTAATATACCAATGTTTAACTTCTAAAAGGTGAAAAGGAAATACAAATTTTCATCCATAAATAAGATGACATACAAAAATTAAAATTTAAATGGTAGCTATATGAATACAAATGAATTGAATGGTATGCACGTAAATCTTTCCAAAAAATTATGGAATCCAGAGCAACTTCTCTGTGCCATTTGTGCCAATTTACGTATCACCCATGCCAATATGTCTCCTGCAACTCTAAATAAAAAAAGAAAACGAAAATTTACATACATAGCACCCAATTTTGATGCAATTACATATCGCACACCAAAATTTTGATTTTTACTTCTTAAGCACCTTTTCCTATGTATGAAAAGGTGTATTACATAAATTCACCTTTTCATATATAGGAAAAAGTGCTTTAATTGTAAAAATTAGATTTTGGGGGTGAGATATATGAATGCATAGCACCCGTCATTTTTTTTTATTGCATATTATATACTATAAGACTTGAAAGATATTTAAACTGGTGATACTTTCTAGCTTAAGAACATGTTTTATATAAAAAGAAGCGCAATTACATACAAATCACCCGAAACTTCCTATTTATAAATCAACCACTCTCTTTCATCTGATTTTTGAGAATATCAAAATTCATGGTAAAACCCCAATCCATATTTTTTCATTTTTATCAAATTGTTAATAGGTTGATAGTGGCACGCAAAAATATATTATTATTGTAGTTCAAAAAAATCACCTGCGTGATTAATTTGAAAATACCAATATTTCAGGTGATCTCCATGTAATTATCCCAAAAAGAAAAGAAAAGCAATGGTACTCAAAAGAAGACTCTGAACCATCTTATATAGATACCTCGTGTACTTCTATGTCCATAAATTTCCTTGTGAATACCAACATGATTCTAAATTTCAATTTTTTTGCATGCTAAACTGTTCTTATTAAACCTGAATCCATAAATCATGGCGTTGATTCCTAAAATTCTGCCATCATGAGATAGATTTCATCTGTAAATTCTCCCTAAAAGCATCCATTACAATTCCATGCAGCTGTCCAAGCCTATAAAAGCCGAAGAAGGATATAAGAATGGCCTCGTTGATGAGATCGCTCCTCCTGCACAATTGCTTACAGTAGCAAGACGTTGGGCATTAGATATTGCTCAAGGACAGAAAGCTTGGACAAAATCGCTTCATCGAACTGACAAACTTAGTGCGCTTTATGAGACAAGTCAGAAACTGTATGCTTCTCGGAAGGATGCTGAAAGAACTGGTTCAAATATGCCGCAGAACCAAGCATGCCTTGACGCCATTGCAGAGGGCATAGTTCATGGGGGATATACCGGACTTCTGAAAGTAAGGAACTGAGTATTTTCTTCAATTTCTTGATGTGCATGAAACAAGTAAACAATGGCGGCTAGAAGTCTTATTTCATGAAAAAATATATTACATGCGGACAGAATATAGGTGAATTTATTCTAAGCAATTCCACCACAATAATACCAATCCGCACATGCAGATATCACGCGTAATATTCCCTCCCTTTCATGAAGCCAAAAGAAAGGCAGGAAGATTTACATGCACAGCACTCAATTTCTCTGTGTTTACATATCTAACACCTAAACTTCAACTTTTTACATAACTACCATATTATGGGTGTACGAGAAGTTGTATTTCTCTGTTTAGAAGTTTAAATGGTGGTATTTTTTATGTGATATGAAAGATTTGGTGCTATAAATATAAAAAATTAAGGATTTGGTGTTAGTTATGTAAATACCTAGAAATTGGGTGGTATCTATGAAAATTCCAATAGAATATGTTAGAAGCGTATTACTGATTCTGCACAAAAGTTCACAATTTCAAGTAGCTTTATATTTTTCTTCAGCAACTGATAAGCTCAAGTGAATTTAATTTTCAGGAGTCAAGACTTATTAAGGAATTGGTGTTATCTACTACTTCCAAAAGTCTTGTCCATGTATTTTCTGCGCTGCGGGCAACTTCTAAGGTACTTCTTTGTGCGCCTTTAATAAAAATAAATAAAATAAAAAAATGCTGTATTTTTTCACTGTACCACCTATTTTGCATTAGACAAAACAGAGAGTATAGTTTATTTTCCTTTTCTTTTTCATTCATTCTGATAGACTTTTGGTAGCGCCAATATGTTTCAGGGTCTGTTTGATACAGCATTCTGTTTATTTTGCATTTTAGACCACCAACATGGTTCTGCTTGGGAACTGATTTCCTATCATTTTCTAGAAATTTATGTGGTGAGAAGCTGTTTTGTTTTTAACCTCGCCTGTTAAAGTGCTATGGTGGCTGTAAGAAAATTACTGTCTGATTTTTTTGAAAAAATTTATATTTATAATTTCGATCGTAGCTTTATAAAAAGTTACTGATTTCCTATCATTTTCTAGAAATTTATGTGGTGGGAAGCTGTTTTGTTTTTAACCTCGCCTATTAAAGTGTTATGGTGGCCGTAAGAAAATTACTGTCTGATTTTTTTTAAAAATATATATTTATAATTTCGATCGTAGCTTTCTAAAAAGTTGATTTTTGCATCATAACTTTACAACCACATTTTTAAAAAGCTGCAGCCACTCCAAACAGGCCCTTAACCTACCAGATAAACAATTTAATAGAAAAGTATCAAACTGCACTCCCCAATCTATCTTCTCTTTAGTTTAGTGGGCAGATTTCAGTTTTTAAAAAGAGAGGAATTGCGAGAAAAATTACTGCAATATGTTTTCTAGGCAGTAATTATCTATATAAGATAGAAAATGATTGATTTTGGCTGATTTAAGTTCAGCGTCCAAGTCAAAAAAAAAAAAAAAAAGATTTCACACACACATATGTATATATATATACATATATATGTATATACATATATATATATATATATGTATATATGTATATATATATATATATATATAAGATAAATGAAGTGAAGATCGAGATGTTAGATTTGTACAAATATGATTGCCTAAATTTGTACTTCGGTCGATATGCTTTTGCTTTTCTCTAATTCTATGTTATGGAAAGGTACCTAAGCTCACTGGTGTTGGACTCATTCCTAGATCCATTAGAAAAGTTGCTATTATTGGTGGCGGTTTAATGGGATCTGGTATAGCTACAGCTCTTATTTTAAGTGATATCCAAGTTGTTCTCAAAGAAAGAGACCCCGCTTTTCGTGGACTAAAATCTGTAGAAGGTATGAATTTAGTTTCCATTCTAATTGTTTCATTAAGAATAATTATCTACGCTAGCATATATATATATATACATACACGTATAGTTTACATTCCTTCTATCGTATTTCTAAACATGTATGATCATTGACAAACGAAAGAAGTAAATAGCAAAGAGATTAAATGAAAAGTTGCTATTAAAATTTACATAATTCGACCTTAGTCTACATCTGTTGAGGAGATCCACTAGCAATAAGTCAAATAAGCAAAGAAATCAAACGAAGAAGAAAACTTATTCATGCAAAAGCGATGATTAGGACAGAAACCTATGACAATAGTAAACGTGGGCTTTGAAAACTCACGCCCTCTCTTACGAGAGAGTTAGTTTCGATTCAAATTTTCAAAAAAATATTAGATTTTATATAAGACAATTCCGACATGTTTCACTTTCATTTTGTAAGAACTTTAAGATTTTGTTGCGTATTTCCCATAAGTGTAAGTCTTAGTGATTAATTAGCCCTCTCAGTGACGAGAAATAATGTTTGATTAACTAGTCCTTATAAGTTATCTTGAATTATCACGAATCTTATCTATTTAGTCAAAGGAGTTAGTTAAGTTATAGCCTGATCGAAGGTTCCTTGTCAACGAATGTAAGTTGTTCTAAGAGAACTTTGTAGACTTGGATTGATATTTGTCGAAGGAGATAATTTCAAAAGAAATCTTCGTGTCCTATCAAGTTCACTTCTATAATTCACCATTCAAGGGATTTATAGTTATTGTAGGCTCTAACCATGAATATAAGTTAATGATGTCATCTCATGGCAAACTATATTGAAGGGTCACGGTTATTATCGTTACATTTTACAATATCATTTGACTATAAAATCACAAGAGCAGGGGACAAATGCCATATTTTTATGGTGTAAAATTTTTTAGAGTGATCATAAATGTGAGCCTGATATGATATTTAATTTTTATAATATTAAGTTTAAATTTATCACCCTTAGCAAATCATTGTAGGAGATGAATGAATTTTTGCATTAAGCTTCAAGTGTTATATTTTTTTAATGCTCTTATATTTTGTATTTTTAGAGTTTTTTGTATATCCTAACTTAAAATTAAATAATTTTTTGTCTGAATTTAGAGGTATTTTAAAAGTTAAAATTCCCTCGGTTGACATTTTTATGAACATGACCATCACCAAGGCATTTAAATAATTTCATTTTTTTCACATTGGACTTTGTCAACTTCGCATACTTATTCATAAGGATTAAATTCGTAATTTCATGTGGATTGAAACTGTTGGAAAAACTATCGTGTTACAAATCGTGTCAACTTTTCCTTTATATATTGATGAACTAGTTCCTAGAACTTATGATTATTTTAGTAGTCTTTAAACTGAGACTTTATATTTCGAAAGAAAAATTTCTTTATAAATCATCTTAACCCTTATTGTAAGCATAAAAACAAAAAAAAATTGGTGAAACTTACAAATATTCAATGTCTACTATAAAACCATTCTTGTGTTGTATATGATTGAGAGTATGATTTTAAACATTATTTTTTAATACAAACCTTTAAAGCATGAACATGAACATGGAGACACAGACACAACATGACACGATATGATGACGACATAATTAAAAAAATAAGACAAGATACGCCATTGATAAGTTTTTATATTTAATTAATTATTAATATAAAAAATAGTTATTTTCATTATTCTTCATTAAAAATATCACAACACAAATTATGCAAAAATAAAATTTAACTTCATAAATTTAATTTATATAATAAAACCTCATATTAACAAAAACTAGTTTTTAAAATTAGATATAATATGTTTCAAAAGAGTTCATCTAACTTATAATCCAACTTATTTACTAAAATTTAAAAAATCTTACGATTACAAAAAGAGAATTACTAATGCTCGCCTTCAACCAATATTAGATGTACTTTCGATGCTCGATTTTGATGAATGTTAGAGGAAGCTTCAACATGACAAAATATGGGATGGTTTCGACTATGAATTATAATTAAGGTCATGCATTTATTTATAATTTTCTAGTTCCCGTGTCTCATTTTCTCAAAATAGCGTTAAGCTCGTTATAGTGGAGCGGACTCCATGTTCAAAATATCTGCAATTCCCATATAAATAGTTTTGGGTGGTGCAAAATTTAGATGAACATATAAATATCAAGAATGCTCTAAACTTTAAAGCATTCAAGTAAAGTTTATCGACCCTAGGAATATTGAGTCTCCATTATAGTTTGTTGAACGAGGTAAATTTTTTAATTAAGTTCATAAAAAGTTGATATCCAAACAGGTGTCTCTTTATGATTGCTCTCAAATATCTCATGCTAATAAATATTTGCACTTGTTCTTTGATTATATAATTTTCGTGCCATGGTTTGACCAGGACCTTCTAATTAGGCGGTTCATCACAAAATAGCACTATTAAATTATGATTTTGGCTAAAGCTTACAAGTTCTCCAATGACCTAAAAATTCCTTGATAAATGAAGTAAATCATAAAGTGCACTAGATGGGACACAGCCTTTTGTTGGCTAAGGTCAACATAAAATTGACCTTTTAAACAAACCACCACTCCAGGTCTAAAATATCCTCTTGGATAACACAACTCGTAACTATTGATAAAGTTCTTTAGTTAGTTTGGGTAAGTTATCTTTATTAACTAACTAAACTAAGATATCTTTAAATCATTAGTTTTTTATGAGATTCATCACCATTACCACAACATTTGCTCTAAATCAAGTGTGATAGGTTTCTTCCTTTTAAAATCAAATCATTGTTGTTATAAGTTATGAGTTAAGTCGCGCCAAGCAACAAGGCCTTAATTAAAAATTGCTCTCATCAATTTTTTAGGTAATTAAACATAGTGGTTTGCACATATACAATACTTGAGAACAAATCTTAAAGCCCTCGCAAAATAATGATGGAATTTTTTTATTTCATCTTATTGGAACATTTAATATGGTTCTGAAAATTTTACCCAAAATTACAAACCCTTTCAAAAGAGCCAATGTGAATTTTTGGAGCTCATAATCAAGTGTATACAAATTCAATTATGAGTGAACAATCAATTCATGGCAACACTTTCAAATGCATTAATTACTTGATATCTTGGTCAAATATCGCATAAAGTAGACTTGTAGGGGTCTTTGGGAACTTAGAATACTTAACTTGGAGAGGAGACACAGAGGAGCTCTAGTTTTTTCACAAGATTGAGACAGGGATGAAAGTTATTACAACACCTTCCCAAGGATAAACATATGATCAATGCTTGCAGGATATCATATGAATCCAACTTTGTGATTTGGACACTTTCGAAATTGTCATTGATACATTGATATGCATGCTTATTCCATCTTGGGATGTATATTCGTACATATTATAACTAGATAAAGAGAAGATTACATCAAGGGCATTTATTAAGAAATTTTAGACCAAAAAGAAAAAAACAACTAGGCAGAAAAAATACAAGATCAAATTTAGACATTTAGTTTGAAATCTAGTAAAAATAAGAGAGAATTAGTATATTTTCCTCCAATATATACTCTTTCTGACATAAAAATTAGAATTGTTTATATACTAGAGATCAAGTCAGTATTTTGAATATTCCAATAAAAATTAGAAACCAGTTGTGATAAATAATCATTATTTTGTTTGCCAACAGGAAGAGGTTGATGTAATTCAAAAGCTTGCAAAGTTTTCACAATGATAAATTAACAGTTAATGAGATAATCGCCACCAAAGAGCTAGTTGGAAAATGAAGATCATATTCAATCTCTGAAAGAGAATTTGAATTTGGCACCAAGTTTTGGGAACATACCTGAATAGAAGGAGGGATCGTTAACCAAAGACTTTGTAGGATCAATATGAACATCAGGTAAAAGGTGTTGCAACTCAAATTAAGGATTTGTCAGCTTGGGATGAGCCATAAAGCACTAATATAATTTATATCTAAAAACATGGCTAGATTAACAGTATAAAAGATTATTTTAAAATTCGGCCTTTTACCAGTATCTACAAAATGGAGGCACAATCCGTATCTCTTTATGAAAGAGAGTAATAACATCCAAACGCACCAAGACTCTAGCCTCAAAGGGTATAGTAAAATAAGCTATTGCAACATTTATTTGCGGAGCTTTCTCAAGAATAAAAGTCAAGAAAAATAAGATAGATTGGTTGAAATAATGCAAAGAAAATCATGAAAATGAGATTTAAACCGATGTAACAGATGGCTCCACAAAGCAGGCAAAATGAGAGACCATTTTAATGTGGTCATTGGGAGGCCATTGAAATAGTGCAAACGTGGAGAGAAGAATTTGATATAATTTGTATCTAAAAAAAACCTTTTAAGATGACATACTGAAGATCAATAAACCCAATGAAATAATCACCAATCAGTTGTAAATCGGTCAAGAATTGTAAATTTCCTCCACTCTACGGTGACCATACAAAATTTCTCAATAATTGCAAGCATTGAGAGGCCTCGTAAACATAAAATTTTTCTCATCCAAAAGCGAAGAGTAAGTTTACGTTGAAAGGAAATACTTTTTATACTGAATAGCCTCTAACTTCTGATGAAAGAAAAGCAAAAAAATATTCAGTGATGAGTAAAATTTTACGAAATTTAAACAATGAATAACATTTGCAAATTTGTGTGGAGGGTGTGACGGAGGAATCTCAACCAACAGAGAAGAATGAAAGAGGACTAGCCTTAGAAACATCTTGCGTCATAAGGGAAGGAGAGACTAAAATGGGTGGTCAACTAAATCTATAGGAGAATTCATTGCACAAGTCAGGATACGAGGAAATTTTGATAAAGAAAAGAAGTGCAGGAAATCTCCTAATAGAATTCAACATAAGAGATTAACCATGAACACAATCGCAAATACCAGATAAAGAGGGAAATCTTATTGCTCGCAAGAATGAAGAGAGCAACATGATTGAGAGCAGTCATGGAAGCCACAGGGCTTGAGTTGAGAGCCACAATATGT